AAAAGCGCACGTTTTAATATAATTATATAAAAAAAAAAAAAAAAAAAAAAACCAAGGCTAACGTACATGCATGCGGGCTCTATTTTTCTTCCTCCCCCCCGATGCTGCGTGTAATTTTATTTCTCGTGACTGCGTGTCACTTGTGGTTTCTTACAAAAATTTTCTTTATCCTTTTTTGCCTTTCTGAGAAAATCTTTTTCAATTTGGAGGCCCACTGTGAAAGCTACCACTGGGATCGAGAGCTTTTTTTTCCAAACATACATGCTAATTTGCACGTTTTTAAAAAGCAATCTTAGCTTCGTGCTTTGTAAAAAAAAAAAGTAAGAAAATAAAATTGGTATTGAGTTAATCAATTAAATAAGAATTAAAACCAATGTTGGAAAAATTTCCTGATAGTGTGATAAGAAATCTATAAAAAAAACCTGTGCTCCCAAAGCTCATCCTAAACAACCTCTGATCAGTGGGAACCACTTAAATTGAGCCAAAGATAATCCAGAATAGACTTATATACATTTGGTATAAATTTATTGACCCAGACAATGACTTGGGATAACAAAAATTAAATGCTGTCTACAATTATAAATAATCAATAAATTATGGATGAACTATAAAAAGAAAGATATTTAAAAAACTAATGTAAAACATTACAAAAGGATTCTACTATGCTGACTCTATACATAATAATCAATTCAATATTACGAGATAAAACCAAGTAAACATTACGTTGACGATCACAAGTATAACTTCCTTAATTTACAGCTTCGACGTTATCGAGTGGCGGCAAATACGTGCCCCGCGCCATCCTTCTGGACCTCGAACCCGGTACCATGGACGCAGTCCGCTCGGGCACTTACGGCAAGCTCTTCCGCCCGGACAACTTCGTGTTTGGACAGTCCGGCGCCGGCAACAACTGGGCCAAGGGCCACTACACCGAGGGAGCCGAGCTGGTCGACTCGGTCCTCGACGTTGTGCGCAAGGAGGCGGAGAGCTGCGACTGCCTGCAGGGCTTCCAGCTCACTCACTCGCTTGGTGGTGGTACCGGCTCCGGTATGGGGACCCTCTTGATTTCCAAGATCCGCGAAGAGTACCCCGACAGGATCATGAACACCTACTCTGTCGTGCCGTCGCCAAAGGTCTCCGACACCGTCGTCGAGCCCTACAACGCCACCCTCTCGGTACACCAGTTGGTCGAAAACACAGACGAGACCTACTGCATCGACAACGAGGCACTTTACGACATTTGCTTCAGAACACTCAAACTCTCCACACCCACGTATGGTGATCTCAACCATCTCGTATCTCTCACAATGTCTGGTGTGACAACTTGTCTCAGGTTTGTTTATCTTTCTCGCTCACTCGTAATAATGGTTTTGCAAAATATCAAAGAGAATGTAGTCAGCTCTAAACTGAACCACATTAAACCAAAGTAAAAAAATGTAGGCTTTTCTAAATCTGGCCTCATTGAAACAAGACAAACTTAAATGTTGACTACATTCTCTTTGATTGTGCAACAGGTTTTTGAAATTAAAGTTTTTGCACCAAAAGAAATCGACTAACTTCTTTTGAAACATTGCAGGTTCCCAGGTCAGTTGAACGCTGATCTCAGAAAACTCGCCGTAAACATGGTGCCGTTCCCACGTCTCCACTTCTTTATGCCCGGATTCGCTCCGCTTACCTCCAGAGGTAGCCAGCAATACAGAGCCCTCTCGGTGCCCGAGCTCACCCAACAGATGTTCGATGCCAAGAACATGATGGCTGCCTGCGATCCACGTCACGGACGCTACCTCACCGTTGCCGCCATTTTCCGTGGTCGCATGTCCATGAAGGAGGTCGACGAGCAAATGTTGAACATCCAAAACAAGAACAGCTCGTACTTCGTTGAATGGATCCCGAACAACGTCAAGACCGCCGTGTGCGACATACCACCACGTGGTCTGAAGATGTCGGCAACTTTCATTGGCAACAGTACCGCCATCCAGGAATTGTTCAAGCGCATCTCAGAACAATTCACTGCTATGTTCAGAAGAAAAGCTTTCTTGCATTGGTACACGGGTGAGGGTATGGACGAGATGGAATTCACCGAGGCAGAGTCGAACATGAACGATCTGGTATCAGAATACCAACAGTACCAGGAAGCCACGGCTGACGAAGATGCCGAATTCGACGAGGAGAATGAGCAGGAAGTTGACGAAAACTAAATGAGCAGCACGCGTTGAGATTCTCCTAAAGTTAATAAATATACAAAACGTTTCAAGAGTTAATTGTAATTTATACGTTTGCACTAAAGATGTAATAAAAATATTAAATTAAAATCAATTTTTTTTCCTCTATGTTTTTACTTACATTTTTAGCGTAATACATGAAACAGAAGTCCACGATTAAATAACTGACAAAATATCTTAACTCCGTTACAGCTATTATAATAGCTTTTTAATGTCCCAACTCGAATGTTTTACTTATCGTTAATATAAAGTTAATGTAGTTGTTCTATCAGTACACACATTTTTTTTTTTTTTTTTTTAGTTTTGAAAATGAGCTTTATTAAGACTTTAAAGGCTTTTATAGCTACAAAGTTTCCACATATATAAATTTAAATATTTAATTTACATTCCTCTAGGAATTTACAAATTTGTTTGAAGGCCTTAAAGTTAGGATCATACAGGAATTCATCACAATGAAACGGGGGGAAGTAAGCTAACTTAGCCAAACTGTTGTACAAGGTAATTCTCGGAACATCGTATAGATGGCACTGCCATATGACATGATCCAAATCTTCATTGGAGTCTTGACATTTACATTTCGATTCGTTAACAATATTAACTCTCGCTAATGACGCAGCCAGATTGTAGTAATTTGCGCGACAGCGATTTATCGTGACGATAAGACTCCTTGACAGGTTTATGCCTTTAAACCAGGGAGTGGATCTATCGTTGTAAAATTTTTCAAAGAATAACTTTCCCTTTTCTTGACCGGCCTCCAACACCCACCTAAGTGTACAGTCTTTGGACGCTTTCTTAAAACTAGCTTTGAGATCAGAAAATGGTACAGCCTTGTAATCACAATGGTTGAACATAGTGCACGGAAAGACCTTTTTCATTGAAAATCCCCTACTACATTCAGTTACGAGTTTTTAATAGCTTGGTAAGGTTTTTTCCCGTACCAGGTCCGTCTAAAACCTACACGGAAAGACCGAGTTCATTGAAAATCCTCTACTATACTTAGTTATGAGTTTTTCATAGCTTGGTACGGTTTTTTCCCGTACCACGTCTGTCTAAAACCTACGCTCAAGTATGTTATGTAAAATCTCCTTCTGCTGCGTTAGGTATAAGTTTATATTAACACTAAGTACGGTATTATCTCATGTAAATAAATAAGTAATTGAATAATTTTACTCTCATGAAAAAATATTAGTGAGACATTGTAATTTCCAACTCACTAAAATATTTTTAACAAAGTCATCCATGATCCACTTTGAGGTTACTTTTGATATTTATAGTAACAACATTAACAATTCATCACTGCACCAGTATCCTAATTAACTGTCACTTATTTTTTTAACGCTGGTACATACATTTATTATGATAAAAATAATATTACAATGAATATGGATAATTTTTAATGTACCTACAGGTATATTAAAAATGCATACC